TATTCTACAAAGTTTATAAACGCTGTATTCAAAACCTTGAGCTCTAAGGCCGGGCGCAAACGAAGGAAACTGGCAACCGCAACGCAAAAGCGATTTCCGAGAATTGTTATCAGCCTGAGTTGAACACATGTTAGTGAATGGTGCAGCGCAAATTGAGAAAACGGCAACGCAATTCGCGGAGAGACTGAGAAACTCAATTTCCAGGCAACGGAGCATGCCAGTCTTCTCACGATTGAGTAGCTGTTGCGGTTGCCAGTTTCCTTGGTGTGCCCTCGCCCTAAGTTAACAAGACTGGAAAGTTTATATTAGATAATGAAGTACACAAAATTCCCATTGGTATATTTTGAAGTTCACTGACCTTATTCGGGTCGAGTTTATAAACATGTCAGCAAAACACAAAACACTGAAACCAAGGCCTTCAGGACATTCCCTTGAATCCTTGAGAGACACCCGCCTACTGAAATTGCTGCACCTGTAAAACAAGGTTTTCCGCACCAATGGAAATTTTTCATTGATGCACTCCGTGTGGCAAGTTGCGTATGGCTTTCAGAGAACCGTATGGTTATTATTATACATCAGAATTATGCAGCCAACATGCAACACAGACAAAATCACGGAAACATCAATGTTCGCAACATAGGACTTGGCGAAACCAGGCAGAAAAAATACTATAAGAGGCTTAAACTTGGCGGCGATTGCGCTTACGATCGTTCAAGTGACTAAGCTGCCATTGCAGAGTGGTCCACGTAAGATAAGGCATAATCTGCTGTACAAAGCCTGGTCAGACGAACGGACGCGTGTATGGATGGACATGTAGTTTGGTAACTTTGTTGACTGGTTCACAGCTCTGCACTTCACGGAGACTGATACATCGCCGGCTGCGAGAAGAATACGAATTTTGCCAATGAATCAACATGGCTGAAGGCTGATAACGTTTAGAATGAAGGAGTAATTAGCTTGTGGCCCGCTTTACAGCATTATATTTCACGGAGAGTAGTGCGGTTCATGCGTGGGAGTTTATGATGTCTTCTGTGAAGAAGGTATTTGTTAAAGAACCATACAGAAAAGAAGTCTTTGGAGCAGGAGCACCGAAGCACCGAACGTTCCATTTCCGCCAGAACAAATTTTAACGCGCTGCGGCACGTGGCTGTGTGCACTGTGTCTTTATACGGAACATTTAGGAACATTTAGTAATGTCGGGAATACATTTGATCCCAAAAGTGCTGCATCAATTCAAATTGCCCAAGACGTACAAAAAACGCATAACTAGAAACTAATCTTTCCTATATATCTGCTCACGTCTCTCAATTCCATCCGCCATTTCCTCACCGGAGACAGGCAATAGCAATACTACTTTGTATTAACTGTTAAGTTATTCAAACCCACCGTTTAAAAATTGAATTCGGTTCCTGGAAGAGCTGAAGTAGAAAAAAAAAAGTATATGAACAAATTTGTGAAATTGATGAAATTTTAGCCGGTAAACATCCTGCGCTGTCAAGTAAAAAACCACTAGCTGTGGAGCAAATAGCGGCTTTTGTACATGCGCCCTTAAGTTCCTGTGAGTTGGAAAGTTTTTCCCACTATATGGACAACTTACGAAACAACAGGAGGGGCCTAAACATAAAATTATCTTAAATTTTGATCTGTTGGTCTTAAAATAATATAAAATTCATTTTAATATTTGGTACGAACTTTTTATGCCCATACTTTGGGTGTATATTTTGGAAGTTTTTCATGCATAAATGCACACATAATTAAGGCTTTATTAGGGCATAAAAATCCGGTTCTTAGTTATGAGCAACAAGAGGGGCTCATCACCAAGACAGACAAAATGACCGACACCTGCAGTGTGATTCGGACGCTTTTCACTTCTTCCTTGCAAATGGATGCGGCACGCACCTTCGTAGCGCCAGCAAGCCTGTCTACTTCCACATGATACAAGACCAGAGGAGCAAGATCAACATCAATGCGAAGTTGCATTTTATAGATAATACTTCAGAATCGTTTATTTTCTCATACCGACACTGGGGAACACACACTGTAACGCTTATCGTTATTTGGAGCATTTACCACCGTCAGTAACCATGTATTATCCCAAGATCAGCCTGGTTTGCACAGATCATCTCCCTTCGAAATTATAAGACTATTAATTTCTACAGTAGCTACGAATTACTGAATGGTGTAACAATAACTATCACCCTTACACAGCCTGACTGAAATTGCTGCGAATCTGATGAAATATGAAAACCCTGAAGATACTATTGGCTTGGAAGGCCTGAGGAACCATTGTTTATCATCCAGTATTCGAACCTGATGGCTCTTGAGGCGTTTTCTCTGTGCTCAATTAAGCACACCATGAATACGCGTGGGGGAAGTGTAAGCACACTGCCACGCATATTAACTTCGAACTGGACAGAGGCCAATGATCAGTTTCATTTCCCGATCGCTTTACCTCCTGGGAAACAGCCCCGGTACCACGTGGTCCCTAAAGCGGTGAAGAGAAAAATCCATGTACCTGCCACAGCCTATTCATCATAATGATGACCTATTCCGTTTCGTGGGAGGGAGAATATTACATGAACAAATATGGTAATATGTTTGGCTGTTTCCAGCACCCTGTACACCCACTCCAAGTCTCCGTGACGATTTAGTGCAAAAATCGTCTCCATCTTCAGGGTCGATGTCAGTGAACTACCCGACTACATGGCATTACATCCCAGCATACAGTACCCTTCACAGTCATCGATGGGAGTGTCCGAAATCCAACACAATATCCGTATATGCTGGACATACTGGACATACACGTGGTGTACTGTGTGGCTTCATTTGTCACATTCTTCACCTCCAAAGTGATGGGTCGTTTCTGCACGAACATTTGCTACGTGTACTGCTATGGTTCGTTCCGACTTAGGAATTCTTTTACTTCGAATGGCACCACCGATACGAAGTCAAAATGTCCGTTGTTTTCTCACGGCGGGATCATGCAGGTAATTCAAATCCAGAACAGTAATTTGACGAGAACTGGAAAGCTCGTTATCGTAGAGAACACGCAATTAAAAATGTGCTAATAATTGCATGTTATTTGTAAAATCTTACCACAAAAAAATATGGAACCGTAGATTTCTGTGCACAGGGTTTAAATTTCGTTTTAATAATATTCTAAAATTCAATTTCAGGTGTTTTTTCAAGAACAAAAATTATAAAACCATCTCTCTCATTGGGCACATCCGTCCACGTTAACAGAGCCCAATCGGAAAGAACCACCAGGGAATGTGGAAGCAGCTGTTGGCCTATTTTAATCCCATTCTACCACAGATACTGAAGAAAACCATGACAAAACTATGGCTAGCCAGTTCCTGGTCAAGATTCAATCCAGAATCCTAAAGAGAACTCTAACCACACCACTCCATCCAACATTAATTTTAAGATCTATCTAATGAAAAAGTACAATTCTAACCATCAAGCTTCCAATGTGAAAATATTAAAATTATTGCTTACACACCTATTATGCAATTTGAAATTGTGACATTACTTAAATGAGGAATTTTTATTTACATGATAATCTCATATCGTTTGACAAAAATTATAAGAACATCAAGAAAATAATACAAACATGAAAAAATGCATTGTTTTGGCTCAAAATTCAATGCACAAAACTATAACACGATGTGAAATCTGCATATCATTTGGACTCAGCATCTCAGAATTTTAAAAAAAATTCAGAGGTTCCTTTTTTGGCTGTAGTAAAATACTCTTATTGACTAGCGCAAACATGTAACACTTGACAATGACTATGGCCAATATTAAACCACTGACATTCACACAATGAACCAAAATAATAGCCAAACAGGCTTTCTCAACACAATCATGCTGCTTGAACTTCTCCACAAAATTGAAGTACTGTTAAAAATGTCGATCATGTCGGATTCTGTACTGACACCAGTAAATATTCACACTGACAGCATTTCCTGTCACTACTGAACCTCACACGATCAGTATTTTTAACAATATTTCAGTTAAATGGAGAAGTTCAAGCAGCATCCTTTCTCTTAAGCCTGTCTGTCCATTATTTTGGCCTCTGGAATTAAAAAACGCTCAGAATGAAAGAGATGATTGCAAACTGATTCACTGAACTGCAGATATCTTACATTCATATGAAATTTCCAAATGATATAACATTTCTTGAATCCAAAGACTTTCAAGATTACTTTCACATAAGAAGTTTTACCACTGAGGAATTACCAAAATCGCTACATTCTCTAACAATGAAGAGAACCACCAGCAGGTGACTTATCCATATAGAATGGTTGGCTGTTGATTATAGGCACAACCTTCCCTCTCTGTTTGAGTAATTGTTTAATGAAATATCCACAAAATAGGTAATTCTCTGTATCCACTAGTCCAATAAAGTATCATGCTGGTCTTCTTCATGACAACTGATTCATTACTCTGGGAATGTTGTCAATACAAACCTAATGTAATCAGAATTTATTAACATATATCATACATTCTGAAACGTTATCCAGGTTTCGTCAATATTTTATATTATCAATATCATCAGTATCACTTGCACCAGTCAATATTACTGTCAACATCGAAATACTGGAAACAAACATTTATCGTGTCCAGGCCGTTAACAGCCGTAAAACATAGCAACTGATTTATACTGTCCCTTATTCAACTGGCTATATCTCACATGAGGAAATACAGCCGAAAGACAGCATAGCAGCCTTCCACAGCCTCTACAAAAAATTTAGAAGCTGCATGCGTCCTTGCGTATGAATGAATGCAAAATAATCGTGGTGCATAAACCATACGCACTATAATTATGTCAAATAATTTTTTATTGCTGACTTGCGCAACGCTTGATAAGATGTAAACACGAAAGAAGAGGGACGCAGAATATTGAAGAAAGTACTAAAAAACCTCAGTTATTATATATTCACTATTTCGGAACAATGTATACACAAGTAGCAGATGTAGTTAATGGTCGAAGTTACCTTAAGAGTATTTCCTAGTGGTCTATTCAGCTCGGGTTCACACTGTCCACCCACCGGCTTCTCCCGCACATATTACACACATGAACTTTCCATGTTAATTACAAAACTGTTGCTTGTTGCTACGTAAACTATGTCCGAAAGAACTGCCACGGAACCTAAATACAAGCACCTTCCTCTTCCTCATCAACAGACCACAATACTTTGTTACCTTTACTATGCCATTCCAACAAATTAAGTCTCCGCCCACTTAGGAATACAAACACGCATGCTTCGGTTACCAGGCAAGACTAGTGCATGAACACTGCAGAGAGCCAAGGACCAAGGAGCCAAGGAGGTTAGTCACCAGGGTCACCAGAGAGATATAGAAGTGATAGTTCTTAATTTGGTACAAAATGAAATAGTATTACAAAAAACTTCTCTGTACTTAACCAAGCACCACTCTATGGAGGCATGGAGGTGAGGACGTACAGCTTTACACATCCTAAACCTCGGCACTAGATGGAGATGAACTGAGATGAATGGCCAGTTTCATGCCTTGGCCGCAGAACCTCCCGCATAGAACCACTTACTCCATGAGCTGAGCCCTTCTCTAGAAGCCGCTGGGTGTATCTTACTCATGAATTTCGCCACATTTTATGGAATCCAAAGGTTCATTATCGTGTCTACAAGAGCCCTCCACTGGCCCGTATCCTGAGCAAGATCAATCCAGTCCATACCATCCCATCCTAGCGAAGTTCCATTTTAATATTATCCACCCACCTACGTCTTCGTCTTCCTATTGCTCTCTTTCCTTTTGGCTTTCCCACCAATATTCTACATGCATTTATCTTCCACCTCATTAGTGCTACATGCCCTGCTGATCGCATCTTTCTTGACTTGATTATTCTAATTGTACCTAGCGAAGAGTACACATTACGAAGATCCTCATTGTGCAGTTTCCTCCAACCTCCTATCACTTCATCCCTTTATGGTAAAGATGCATACATATGTAATTTGACATTAGGCTGGTGCATCTGAAAGACAGTCTGTTATTATGAGAAGAATGTGCAATTTCATTGTACATATTGAGACATGATTTAAATTAATATTTTATTAGTTACATGAGTAGTGCAATAAGTTGACAGATTATAAGCGGGATTCCTATGGACCCGCCCCCCTCTCTCTCATAGAAAATAATAGCAGTTGCCCTTCACCCAAGTAACAGGGGACACCATGAAGATTATCATCAATTCCAAGTGAGTTTCAACATCTGATGACACACTGACCTTAACTCAAGAGTCTGACATGAGATGAAACGGGTATCAGCACAATCTGTGCAAAATTTTGGTTCCAGCAAACACATGAAGTATAAAATTACAGACACAAAAGTGCAAAATACCTTCTGCTGAAGGAGCAGTTACTCACAGGATTTCCTCATATGGGCAACAGTACCAAATAACCTGAAATATTTTTATTTCTTCCTATTCAACTAGTTGTTTTAGACCGATACAGCCATTTGCATCAACTCTCGTTCATGAATTTGTCTTTACACCACTTTCTGGGATGACTTTCTCCTGCCAAAGAATGCTAGGCAAACAGAAGCAGGATCATCAACCTTCACACTCAGAAATGTTACATCTTGTGTGTTCATTTTCTGAACAATGAATTTAATATATAATTAGTTTAAGATATAACAAGCATTCATTCAATTTTGTTGTACATAACGTATGAGAGAACAAATTAAAACAAAAATTATTAATCATTATTTTCTCTTTGTCCATTGCCATTTAAAAAAAGATGTGGGGTAATTCTAATCTACTGGTTAAGCTTACGGGGAAAGAGTGCCACAAAAGTTAAGAAACTGATGCAGTCAATGAAACATTTATTCTTGTCTACAAACAACTGTTACATTTCATCATAACAAATCTAAGTAAAAAGCTCCAAAATCTCAAATAACAAATCCAATTAAATTGCTCTCTGCTATAAATTCACTTGTGAAACAAACCNTTCCTGGATAGTCTCTTTCCAAAAACAGAAGATCGCATTAAGTGGAGGAACTGTTTTGGAAGAGACTGTGGACCTGTCGTCTGACAGATTACTGATGGATGGATGGATGGATAACAAGCATTCATTCAATTTTGTTGTACATAACATATGAGAGAACAAATTAAAACAAAAATTATTAATCATTATTTTCTCTTTGTCCATTGCCATTTAAAAAAAGATGTGGGGTAATTCTAATCTACTGGTTAAGCTTACGGGGAAAGAGTGCCACAAAAGTTAAGAAACTGATGCAGTCAATGAAACATTTATTCTTGTCTACAAACAACTGTTACATTTCATCGTAACAAATCTAAGTAAAAAGCTCCAAAATCTCAAATAACAAATCCAATTAAATTGCTCTCTGCTATAAATTCACTTGTGAAACAAACCTGACATGTACTCATATATTAAAAGCTACAGCTAATGACAGTCAATGTAAAACTTGCTGCAGCACTAATCCAGGCTACTGCATCCCATCATGAACTGTGCTCTAATATATTTAAACATGCTATAGGTATGTTGATACGAACATAATCACATAATCAAATTCTCCATAAGCATTATCACCAGTACAGGTACAATACGACATATGGAAGACAACGTGCCGAGGGGACCTAATATGGATTCCACCTCACACTATGTGAAATCTTAACTATTGTAATCTACTGTAATCTACTGTAAACAATTTTAAGTATTGTAACTTTATTCTTATTGTAATCAGCCAATGTACAGTAGCTGACTTGTCCTGTATCATGTAACAATGATCTATAGAGATGAAATAAATAAATAAATAAGAACATTTAATTTTGTTATACCATGGGTGTAAAGAATGCTCCTTGGCTCTTAGCATTTTCAAACTAACCAATTTATTTATTTATAGATGTCTCCACTACTCAGGATATCCAGAGCATAGCAACCAAAGCACTGAACTCTGAATCTTGAACTTGTATTTATTGCAACATGAATTAGACAAATATGACAACATATTTAACAAACTGGAACAAATGAAACTTCAGTCATATTTCAATAAGCATCCAAGCCAAATGAATTACTGTTTTGCTTGAATCTCTGCACTTCATATCATGTGGTAATAACTCTGAATAAACCTTATGAAGTTTCACCATATAAAATTACAATCAGTAATGTATTAATTTAGGTACTTCAGTATAGATTTCAAAATTAAATTACTTGTGGGATTGTCGATGTTCCAAATGACAACCATGTGAAACTGTAACGACTGTATATATTAAATCGTTTAAACTGAATTTACAGAATACAAGATATATGTGGAATGTTCAAATGTTGGCTGGCTCTCTAAGGGCAGTTCGTTCCACCGCGAGTGTGCTGGCAGATTTCACTCCTCCATAGTAGGCGGAGTCTTACGGCCGTTTAGCTGGCCTGTCTGGACGGTGATGCAGTGCTGCGTGCACTGGTTGGAACGGCTGGCTCGGCCAGTTGCTGGGATTGCAGTAGATGTGTTTGCTGGAGACTTGCGGCTACTACTTTAGTTGCCTGGTCCCTGGAGGCTTGCGGCAATTACGTCAGTTGCCTGGTCGCAGTGAAGAGCTGATGTCTCTGATGACTGATCGCTCTGAACTGAGTGCGTTGACTGATGATTGCGAGCTTTGGGCTCCGCCTTTTATACCATGCCTGATGGAGGAGCGAAACTTGCAGTTGCGATTGTGAGCACTGATTGGCTAGCGCACGTTATGATCTAAATGTGAGCTAGACATCAAGTGTTGTTTAAATATGAGTGCTGCCAGCAATGTGATTGGTTAGCACACGTGATGATCTGCAAGTGTGTTGGACATTGAGTGCTGTATAAATATGAGCGTCACCAGCAATGTGATATTCACTTAGGAGTGAGTGTTGTCTGAAAGACCAGCGGAACAGCATGCTATGTGGGATGTTGCCACATACTAAACATGTATTACACCAACTTTTCAATATCCATATCCAGTGCACATGAAACGAAAATCACATGGACATCAGCAAGATGGCCTCAGGGTCAAGTGTATATAATTATTTATGACTGTACTTCCTACAAGTGGGTTAATTTTAATAGAAATCAAAGTAACTGTTTTCAAAAAACTTTATACAAAGGCTGAAACACAATGAGAAAATTATGCTTAATTTGTAAGCTATAATGTTCATATTCAAGAGGTTCCTATGATAGAAGTAAACACATAACAAAATATATCAGTGAACCCAATCAGGTGCTTGATGACTTCACAGAGGAACACAGTAGCATTCATGAAACCACTTTACCTGAAAATACATATTTACTGAATAAATAAGGCAAAAAGAAACAGAAGTTAAATAAAGAAAATACTGATGGGACTGCCCTTGGTAGACACATCATTGTAAGGCATCTCTCACCCTTATTTTTAATGATATGTCTTCCTCCTGTGAGCAAGTAAATGGCAACTGATGAGTTGTGTTATGGTACTCCTCTGTTTTCTTATATAAACCCAAACTTTCGGCAAGCAAATTGCTCTGATAACTGCTTCATCCTGCTTTCTTTCTTGTTCTATTCTTCAACTCCAAAGATGGAGGCGATGTGCTTCCCTAAAATGTTAGTTGGCTTTCATAAATTGTTTATGAATCACAACGAAACTTCTTGTGGATATGTAAGATTTACCCAGTAATATTGTTAAGAGCAATCCTTCAGTCAGACTTACAAATGTATCTGCAAATACATTTCTAATTCTTTTATTGACAAAAGAAAAGGGTGTTTTAAAAATGAAAAAGCATTGCTAAACACTAGATAAATAATGGGATCAATGAATATTATAACAGGAATTCACACAACATTATGATAAGTATAAGTTTCATCAATGAAAACTTGAGTTCTTTATATCTCAAAACAACTTTATGTAGCTAAGTCAGTATGGTCCTAAGCTAATGAAGTGATGGTATTGCCAAGGTATTAACAAACACAGGTAACACCACAATATTTCTTTAGTCAGTAAGCACAAAATATTGTCTGAGAAACAATCTAAGATGGTGGTCTTCATAAATGCATTCTACAGCAAACTATCATATCATGCAGAAAATATTTAAAAAGAGTCCAGAGTGAAATTTATCTGAACATAAATAATTGGATAAATGGACAAAACACACTTTGAGACTGCAACTATGATTTTTTTTAATATTAACATACTTAGAATAGTCCAGAAAAAACACACAAATCCCATTCTTCTTTCATACTGCATTACAATCTGTACAGTTACATTTAATAAACTGTTAATAATCCTGTAAGCATTATATGTGCATGGCAGAACCCTAACATCTGAGGAGTTATGGTAGTGAGAAAACATGAACAGCAGGAATCGGATTCAAAATGCCAGGTATGGGCAGCCATAACAATTTGAGATCACTAGCATTTATCAGAAACGACTGATTAATTTTCAAACTAAACATGGTGATAATCACATCCTTCATGCAAGACTTTTCCTCAGCAATTGTAGTTATTAAAAATTATTTCTGCTGTTATGTAACTCAGAAGTTCATCTGTGGTACAACATAAGTCTGCCGCTGAATCCTAACTTCAGCCAGCCCAATACAAAAAATGTTCAATGAATAAATCCCAACACTTATGACAAATATTCAGACAGAACAGGTACAAAGACACAAACTTAACAGAGCTTTGTTATCAGAAAT